TTTGATTTAATTTTTTCAGATTTTGTAAAAATAAGCAAAAAGCTTAATTATGACAATAATACTACTGATAATTTGAAAATTAGATTATGGCAACATATAATAGTATTCAATAATAAAAGAGGAATCTTTTAATATTGAAAAATACATTTTGGCAAAACAAAATTATTTCTTTTAATAAATTTCAATCATTTATATAATATTCAAAAATTTCTGTATCTTTAAAAAGAAGTTTATTTATATACGTAACTTTTCGAAAGAACATGGTACGAAGAAAGTTTAAGAGAACTTATAAATAATATATTATAAACTTAAAACAGTGTTTTGACGCAAAGACGAATATATACAGAATTATTTTTATATATACATAAAATAATCTGAATCAATTCTCTGTACTTGAAGAATCAAATAGCTCAAACGTAGATTAATAAATGTAAGACGATACTTGATATTCGAAAACTACAAGCAAATAACAATAATGCTTCTACTTTTCTAGATCAAATAATTTTTTGTTTTTTCATATTTATGTGTAAATATAATCTAAAAATATAGAAAACAGGTAGAACCTTACGTATTTACGAATTGCTGATTGTTTCTCCTTTAAATACAGTAGATATACTATATACACATAAGCTTATTGAATGAAACTAAATATATATCAATAGTTGAACACTATGTATATTACTACACACATAATAAACACAACGTTGACACATCACAAGTGAAAGGGGGTTGAAAGCAATATAAAGGTTTGAACTTAAAAATTGCAGTATTTTGGAATTAGGAATGAAACAATCCGTATACTCCTTCGTGCAATTTAGAAACTACTGGCTTCAATAGAATTGTATTTTAGTAGATTTGGCGCATTGCATGCTACAGTGAAAGGTGTAGTAGCGTAAACGGTTCTCCATCGATACACTAAAATTAGAACACAACCTTGGGATCAATCACGAAGATATTAGATCATTGCACTCGTGACAATACAATGGCATGTAATAATGAATACGTTGTCATGAACATGTAACGATGAAATTTTATGAAACTATGTATTCATCTATTACATACACACATGTACAAATAATGATGAATATATAGTTGATATATAACACAAACACACTAATACAAAATATACTATATTTACAAGCAGAGTATAGTACATATAGTGATACATGCATAATATTTATTTTATATTAAATCATTGTAAGTAAACATTCTTTATTTGATTTTATACATATAAGAATTATAAATGTTAAAATGAAATATTTATGTAAATTTCCTGCGTCTCCTAAAAGTATCTTTCTCCAATTTTGGTCGATACTTTCCATAAAAAAAAAAAAAAATGTACCTTTAAAAAATTTCCAAAGCGTGTGTCAATGAAAATCATTTGTAATACATATGTTATATGGCTTAAAACAAAAGTACGATATGATCAAAAATATTTATACACTCTACAACATATTTCAAGTATGTAAAATTTTTGCGAAATAACGATCTCAATCTTTCAGATTACTGATTACGGATCTGAAGATTAAAATTAGGAATTTGAATCTGAATACCAATCGAAAGATTAGATAAAGAGTAGATAGTAATAGTAATATTGTAAAATCAAAAATGGATTTCTATGATTTTTCTGTCACTAAATAAGTAGTTAATGAAGCAGAATTGTGTTTTTTAATGCATTAATCGATACAATTTATTAATCCAAAAGTATTAAGAAGAATTAGAAGATATTCATTATTTAATATCTCCTGAACTATTTACTTAACATAATTTGTTAAATATTTTTCTACGTATCAATTATTAGAAAATGTATCCTAATAATTGGAAAAATCTGTTTAAAAAAATTGATTTCTATATGCCTCTACACAACATCAAATCGCATCCTCTTCGATACCAGTGAAGTTTCGTTTCGAATATTTTCTCATATAACAAGCAATTTCCGATATAATTTTAATTTTAAAATAATTTTAATTATAATAATTTCCGATAATAATTTTAATCTAAGGTCATAAAATTATTAGCTGTCCCACTCTATTTAGATATTTTAGTTACGAAAGAACTATTTCCTATTTCGTCCTTAATAACATGATTTTACATTGTACAAATATTTACATTATATCTAACTATGAAATGTAAACATGTTGTTAATAAAGACCAAATAAGAGCTGATGAAAGTTTTTTTCAAAGAAGGGATTTGCTACTCACGGTAATAAACAGAATACGAGGTAAACATAAAAAAATTCGATTTTGAAATTCAAGGTCAAGATCAAGATTTTGTAACAAATTGTTTGTGTACATCTTTGTCAAATTCAGGTAGAATCATGATATAATTTTGAAGCACTTTTTATAAAGCTAATATCTTTTATACATACTTGCTTACAATACGAACGTACACTATGAATCAGTATACAAATATTGATATACTGTTGAGAAACATCAATGCAGAAAGTATTAATTTGTATTAATATTTGTTATAAACGGGCAGATTTATTATGTTTCAGATTCTGAGTCTTCTCATATTATCATTAGGAAAATTTTATCTAGTACGTGATTATTATCTCGATAATATGTGACTGAATATGAATACCTATATATAAAAAAGTTAAAGTTTGTTGGTTGATTAAAAAACATTTTAGCGATGCTCGCAATTGCGATTTGTCATCTTTTTGAAAAATTTCATGTGACAATGTTTCTGCAATTTTTAAGTCAAAATTTTTATAAAAATTTTGTAAAGATCTTGAAATTATTTGAAGGTCATGAATTGGTTGCAGGTCGTTGTACTTGCATTGGCATCGATTACATTATAAAATCAAAAATACATAGCGTTATTTAAAAATATTGAAGTACCTTGAATATTTTATTGAAAACAACATATTTTGTAATTTACAAAACTAACTAACTTTTGTCTAAAACATTTTTTAATTATATTATCAAAATTTAGAAAATTGTACATACACGGAATTTATATGAATACTCTGTATAAAGTTAAAATATCTTCTAAATTAATAATTTTTTGATATACGTATTTAATACCTTTTTTATAGAAAATAAAAATAAAATCGAGCTGTATCGATTAATGCATAAAGAAATATATGATTTCGTTTAAAAAAAGTGGAGATAACTTTAAAATCTCTCCAATTGCAAGAGAAATTGTTATTACTGTATTATAGTATTCTCCTATATTTTGAACAAGTTTTGTTGATAAATTTTTTTCAAAAATAACGGAGATATTCAAGTGTTAATTTTTATTGGACTACATATTGAATTATATATATTTACAAGTTTTTGTCTTTATTTATTAATTTCGCTTATATTAAAAATTTCATTCACAGTCTTTTATAAAATATAACAGGTATATCGCGATAAAATAATAATTTGTTGACAATATTAATGTTATGCATAAAAATATTAAACACTAAATAACTGTAAATTCGATAAACCATAATCAGCAGTATTCACAGGAAATGAATACTATGCATATAAGTTTTATTTTTATTTAGATAAGTAGTTTATACAAATTATTTATATACGTAATTACATTATACATTATATAATATAAATAATCGCGTCATATATCATGTAAGTAAATAATTTTATCGCAATAGATGATTATTGTGACAATAGATAAAAAAAACACAATACAATTGTTTAATTCAGTCTATTCTACCTAACAATTACTAAAAATCCTAATTTTTGAAAATTCAATTTTTCCGTCAATTCAAGTTTGAACATTTTTGTGTTTGCAAGTTTAAATTCTGACGAATTGTATCGAAGATAGGCACGCGTGCGCCGTATCGATCCAAAATTGACGACTCTTGTCTTCTCTGAAAAGCAACTGCAGTGCCCAAGTACATATCGGTCCAATGAATTTATTACATTTAGAACATGGGAAATTGCCTGTCTAATAACAATGCGTTGCTTTGGTCGGAAGTTCCTAATCTGGTTAAGTTTGATGTTCCTCTTTATTCTGGTTGGCCGACTCTTGGTCAATCGTGGATTTTATTTACCAATACTGATAATTAGTACCAGTGATATCTTAATACCGAAAAGTTATTCAAGTTCTCAGCAAGATGTGCAGACAGGAGGAGCATTTGCCTTCGTAGCAGGCATGTACATGGCGGGTCTACAACCTAGGAACAGAAGTTTTTGCAGATGGTACCACGGCCTGCCGAATATGCTTTCGTATCCGGCGTCCAAAGTCAGCTGGAGCCCTGAAATCGGTGAGAAGAGTCCCTACAGAGTTCTACCGTTCATATTACGCGGAACCGAGGAGAGGAACAAGCTGCCTCAGGTGACCCTCTGCACGCACGCCACTGCAGATCAGGTCTATGGAATTGTGGAATTAGCTCGGAGATGGGAAGGTCCATTAAGTCTGGCCATTTTCACGCCTGGTCTCGACGCTAGTATCGCCGTTGCTCTCCTCGATCGGGCCTGTCGATGTGAACCTGAAATGTACAAGGTTTCCCTATGCACTCGCTCTCAAAATGGGTCATTAAGTAGTACGATTAAACCTCAAACATTATACCGCATACCGCATGTGTATTCTCTATCGCGAATCTCACAATTTTTATTCAATTTTTGACTTAGAAATTTCCTTTCGTATCAATTAACTGTTCAATGTACAATTGATGGTAGACGGTAGATTTTCTAGACATTGCATAAAAATTATATTAGGATAGGATTAAAAATTTGCTCGACTGCAGAAATCATATAAAATTACTAAAGTAACTTGAATTATTTTTAAATGATCTCTGTGAAAAA